CACGCGCCACGTGCGGTGGTTGGCAAGAACGCATGGTGGCCATCACACCACAGAACTTTTACGTCCAAGTGACATTCAGTAAAGAAGACCGCTTGTCAATCGGATGTCCCGTTCCTAAGATATTAGCTTTTGAAGAGCGTCCCCACGGCCGGCCGGCCGGCCGGCCGCTCATACTCAGAAATTTCCGTTAATCTAAGGAAAGACTCCGCTCGCTTCGCTCGCTCCGTAATCACTGTCCCGCACGCCTGTCGGGCACAGCTGCCCTTCGGCTTTATTCTGAATCTGAGTCCAAAGCCAGCGGGCACAGCTCTGTGCCTCGAGCGGTGCCGAGTCCTAGTGAACGGGTTCAGATCATGGCTGCGCTGCATACCATCTGGCTGTGGGTTCTTTATCAGGCTGTTTATCCACGCCAATGTTGGGACTGGGCGATATGAAGCCTTTCATTTAAAACCCGGAAAATAATAGCCCAGTTCATTTTAGGCTCGGCTTATCATAGCTCGTGGGTTCTCATTTCAGGAGAAACCGACTAATCAGAGTTGATAACCTTTTTGGGCAGAATGGTTAGTGGGTACGATTTATTAGTCTGGTTAATCACAACTTTCCACTCCTGACTGTTAAAAGTCCACTGCGGAACCATTGTGTAACTTCACAATCCACATCCTTCCTTCACTCATACCTGTATTGCAAGTGGGCTCCATGCCTTACCACGAACATATTTCGCCCGCATGCCTTATAGGTCACTGCTGTGTTAGAGTGTGTTACCAGTGCAGTGTCCGTCAGTAGGTATGTCGCTTCTGCCAGAGGTTCGATGTCGATATCCGGACATCGTCAGTCAGTGACCGCCCAGTGACTTTGTTTATCTCGGGCGGAACCAAACTGAGAATCGATGTACACGACTGGACATGGCTAACAGATATTCAGCACGCCTCTATCGCCTCCCTACCGAGGCGCCGATGAATATCTCACCGCCCGTCTCGCTGTGCTCGTCCCGTTTCCGGATTGTTTAGCGCTGTGTCTGGCGGCGGGCGGCGATGACCGATCCCCGTCTCCGTACCGCGCGCCCGTCGGTCTCTGTACTGCTGCGCTGCGGTGAGGCCGACCATATCGGCACCACATCGCCGCTCGGAGCTCCATATCGGGCGGTGGCGGTGGTCGTCCTCCGTCGGCCCCAGGGAGACGAGTGGAGGTCCTGTCTCGGTGCCGGGACCGGTATGGTGTGTGGGTGCGCCGCGGCCGACTCGACGGTCCCTGCCTCCTGTGCTGAGGCGGCCTCTTGTGCTGACTGACTTCTCTGTCTCATCTCCCTCTTCCGTGTCTTATTCCGAAGTCATGCGACTGTTGGTGGATACTGTTATTGTGAACTGACGGCTTATGGATAGCGATCTCCTCAGTCTTATGTTTACCTGCCCGGCAGATATTTCGTGACACCCAGACTGACACGGACCATAACCCAGTAAAAAGGACCCGTGTGGTCAGCCCATCCACTACTAAAGACTAAAATTTGATCAGCCCCGATTCAAGGAACCATTGCTCCTTGTATCAGAAACAGAGGCCCCAGTCGAGACCCCATACCCGTATGTTGTCGGCGTTGATTGGGACGCGATACTGAAGCCCTCGTGGGCCAGGCACTGCCACGGGTGGTGGCCAGGAGCTGGCACGACCACCATCCACCTGTTGGTGGCCTGCCTCCAGTTGGCAGGGCAGGTCGGCTGCTCGGTCCGTCGGGACCCCACGCCCCCGCGCTCTACGACCGTGTTCTGCCCCAGTGCCGCCGCTCGGCCACAGACCAGCTCGTGACGCTCGATAGTGTGTCAGACGGAGCGGCCGAGCTCGGGGTGATTGTCAGCACCGACTGCCGCCGTAGGGATCCTAATGAGATGAATGAGGTGCTTCGGCAGGCCCTGCCAAGGCCGCACTATGTAGGTGCGCGGTGCTATTTTCGGTGGGTTTGTTTGGTGGTGCTACGCACTTTTTGGCGGCTGATGGAAGACTCCTCACTCCACCGAGGACTCACACCAGTTTCACCGTCAACGAGGGCGTAAAATTGGAAGTGCTTGACGTCATTTCTAGCTTCGTGATGTCCTGGAAATAATGCTGTGACTCCGCCACTGGGCTTGATCCCTAGCTGTCGGCTGCGCTTAGCGTACAAAGCTGGCGCTCCCGAGATACTGTGACGCTCCTCCGTCGCCCCTCCCCTCCCCGTCCCGAGTGCGTCTGTTGGCACTGGAGCGGGCCCAGACTCTGTGCCAGGCCCGGTCGACAGGTGATCTGGTGACTCAGCCGGCTACCTCCAGCTCAGACCGGGGTGCCGCCGAGGGATCCCCGGGCGCCGCCGACGCCGTGTGCCTGACGACGAGCCGGGGTTTGTGTATCGGCGGGGGTCGCGCTCCGGCAGACCCGTACACAGAGGGGCTGGTCGGGACGCGTTTCCTGTCGGCACAGGTTTCACTCTGGCGCCGCGCAGATACAACTCAACACGACTCAGAGCTGTGACCTAGTGCGACTCGAGAATCGAACTATCTAGCAAAGTACAGCCTTGATTCAGCCCAGCTGACAGATACAACTCAGGCGATTCACAGGCCCGCCTCAATGCGACTCAAGATACAACACACATGCCTCTCCCTGCACGGCTGACGAACTTGTTTGTCCCGGCCCCGTCGGCCGGATGCGTCGGAGGGCGTCTCTACTGACGGGGGCGTCTCCGCTCCTGCTTCCTATTGTTACCTCGCCGTGTGTGGCACAACAGACTACACCATGGAGCGGAGACTATTTTCGGCCACAGACAGACGCGGCACCGGACCCGACAATCACGGGCCAAGGCCGGTGCTGTGCTGGAGCAGTGTGCCCCACCCGGTATGAGAACGGCGTACTTAACACGACGCTGAAAGAGGCGCCGGTGCTGAGGTATTGTTTGACACGGTCACAAGATTAGAGTGGGTTACGGAATAAACCTCTGTATACGAGCCAACGGTCACGGGTTTAAGGTGTTACGTGTGGTACCTACAGGCCGTGAAATCGAAGATATAGGTTGAATGTGAGTCGTGGCGTTGTTGGGCATAGGTCACTACCCCAGTGACCTCACCTTTGCGAGGTGTTACATACGGAACAGGTCATGAAACGAGAGATATGAGTTCAATATGAGTCGTGAGTAGTTAGACATGGTTCTCGCTGCGCCACTACTGCGTCGTGTTGGAGGATTCGCCCACTCCAGCCTGGTCGTGCTGACACCCGCCCACGGCTTCTATCATCGCTAACGACCCCGTAAATCAACCTGCAGACGATTAACGTCCCCCGTACGCAGTCAGCAGGACGTTCCGCCTCGATCTGAACCCTCTGGATCGACCGAAATGCCCCAAATTAGCTCGATGGGGGCCATGGCGGCCTCTCATCGGAGTCTTTAAATCTTAATTAGCATGGCGCACCGCCGGGGTGGATCAGGTGATCTGCATCTGAGTGGCAGCACTTATTTAGCCCTCAGACCAGGGTCTGAACGATGGCCTGCACCTTGGCTGTGGCTCGTGTTTGTGGATGATGTTCGGCCCGTGGCCCACGCACTGTGTTACGATTAGCACGATCTTCTGTCTGCACCCGACACACCCCTGAGTGGCGTAATCCGACACTGGAAAATGGATTATGTGGGAGTTTCTCCCACAGGTCAGGTCGGCTCTGGGTGGTCTATGGAGCGAAGCTGAACCCCATGGTGGCGTAGTTACCTGATACTGTCGCAGGGGTGAGAAGGAGAGCTGAAGGAACTTCGTCAAGAAGTAGAACAGAACGGGGAGTGTCGGAGAGAAACGGGATGGAATTGAGAGGGACCTTGGTATGCATTTGGGCTGTCATCAAATTCAGGACTATGGATATCGAACGTCCATGCTTCAACAGTCAACAAGCAGGGTGTATGGACATTTTTTGACCTTGCGAAATGAAGCTGACATTGAGCTGGCATTTTTGAACAAAATTTTGCCTATAAGTCACCTTCATATCTCACCCGATTTCCAAGTCATTCCATATATCGCAGCCTCTCTGTGTCTTCCAATCCTCCCCCGTCCCCGCCGTGCTCATTGGGGCGTGCCCGACCGTGCTCGATGGGCCGTGCTCGCCCGCCGTGCCCGGAGGTCAGCGGGGTCGCGTTTCGCCCCGGCCCGCTGGGGTCAGCCGAACCGGAGCGACATCGGCCGACACCGGATCTCTGCGACATCCACAGGGATGGCTCGTCACATTCCAGACACACTCGGTATACAGAGGGACCGTGGGGCTCAGACAGAGGGGTCGTGACCTCGTCTGTGTTAGGTGTTCTCAGTGGGACACTGAGGTCTGAAGTGTAGTGTGAAGCTTCATCGTATGTCCATTTATTGATAACCTCGGTAAATGGTGGCACCTGTAATACATTTGTGCCCTTCAGCAAGCATTCAAGCCAATATGCGAACTCGCAGCGCTATGAAATCAGTCTCAACTACCCTGATTGTCTCTTTCAAAGCCAACACAGACGCCTGTCCAGCTGTGGGTCGGTCGACTCCGGACGACGCCGGTCTGGCGGCCGTGTGTTTGTTTGTCTGATTGCTAGACCGTCTGTCGACAGGGGGGGGGGGGGGAATGGACGGGAGGGGTGGCACGTGTCATCAGCGCGGCAATGGTGACCTCAATCGACGTGGCTCGGCACATAGGCGAGATAATGTTGCCGCAGACTGATCTTTTGACCAAGGCCATATAAGCTCTTTTGACTGTGTGCGCTGCCTGCAGGTTTGGTAAAAAAAAAAAAAAAAATACCCGATGGCATATGGGGAGAAGTCTTACTCGTGAGGTGTGGTCCTGAGAAGCTTTGGTTGAAACTTGTCTGTCTCGACCATGCTTCCACCGCCATTGCGCTGTTTCGCCGTCCTTCCTTCCCGGTACCGTACTACCGCGACTGGCACTACCGTGGCGACAGTCTGCTGCTTCCATTGCCCACTGACGGATCGGTCAGTGTCTCTGGTAAAGGCGGTCAACCGTGCACCGAACTACGCGTCTGCCGCCGGTGACTCATACGTGATTTTTGGTCCAGCGAGACATGAATTAAGGGTGAAGCGCCGTTTGTTTTGTATTGTTGGACAATCAGTTCGTGACCTAATGCGATCAAGCTCGACTGGGCCGAACCTCAGACGTAACGTGACGGACCTATGACGTAACGTGACGGGATCTGTGACGTCAGAGGCCGCGTACGGCGGCAGTGTGTCTGCCAGCGTGGCGGCTGGCGGTGGCGACTCGCGCTCATCCCGCGCCGCGCCGTCGCCGACTGCCGGACAGACTCAGTACCGGTCGGGCGTTGGGCGGCGGAGGGGGTGTGTCGCTCCAGTGTTTGTAGTGGAGGGTGTGAGTCTCACTGCGCCTGGTCAGCGGCGCTGTGACCAGTCGGTGATCTGACTTAGTCGCCGTGTGGTGTGTCTGACCCTGCATCATTCCGGTGTGTTGGTGACTGGTGAAGTGATCGCGACCTCCAGCAGACCGGACCCTCGTCATCATGGACCGGTCGATGTATGGGAAGGTGCACCCGGGAAGCTATCAGAAGCCGTATCAGATAGCGCTGAGGGACGCTGCCAGCAAGCCGGGCTGTGAGTATTGCACGATGCTCCACCACCCTGCTGAATTTCTTACCTTTGGGAGCCTTCTCGCCGGTTCGGCGACGTATTACAATGAGGAAGGTCTATTGTGGGCTGTGTTTTTCGGTTCGTGTCCAGGTTTTCCTGAGTGGACCGCACGTCCGGATCCGCTAGAGACCTGTCTTGTATGGAGTTGGACAGGATGTTGATCGTTGGTGTCGTCTGTGTAGTGTTCGTAATACCTTTATATATAACGGTTCTGCTGGGGGCCGTTGCGCTCATTGGCGCTTCTAAACTGCCTTGTCCTGGATTATCGTAATGTGTTATGCAAGGACAGCCAATGCATCGTCTTTTCTGTCCATTCCAGTAAACCTCTGCTACCTTGGCAGACATTGGTCTCCGGCCACTATTATTTGTTCATTGAAATAAGAAAACAACAAAAAGTATCTCATCGATCAAAGTTTGTTTATTTGCCTTTCCTGCACATCTCCGCCCCGCTCCATCCTCACGTCTGCTGAGCCGTTTTTCTGCGAACCCCCATCTCTCACCACGACCGTGAGCCTCACGTCTGTTCTCTGTCGAGTCGGTGGGGCTTATGACGGTCAGAGTACGCTGTGGCACCTGCGGGCATCTGGTTTGGTGGGGGGAGGGGGGGGGGGTGGTCAACATTGCTATCGAGCTCGAGCCCGCCCCCTCCTGCCACACCCCCAGCATTTGTGGACACCTGATATTGGCTGGATTGAACGGCTGGGTCACAATCCGTTAGTTGGAAGATAATTAATTTAGCTTAACTGTGGCAGCACAGTACGGAAGAAGTGTAACGTGTTATGGTTTGACAGTCTTGACAGTTGACACCAATGGTTTCACACCTTTTCATGTCAATGAAAATTGAAATATGTTAACCAGTTATTGATGGGATGGAGACATCCACGCGAAGGTGTTTCAGACGAAAGCAAAAGAATGCCAAACCGCACTATGCCCTTCGGATTTAGTGCAGCGTCGCGACCTTGTCAGCTCAACATTATCGGTATCAGAGCTGCGAACTGAAGTGCTGTTTTGTCAGGGTTTATTGCAGGTTACGCCTGGGGCGACGTGGGGCGTGTACAATGTGCAAATGGGTGAGATGCGCCCCAGTTGTGGCTTGGTTGCATCTCAGACGTCGATTCCTCTTTCCCCACGTGCTGAAGTTTGCGGTAGCATGCTTCGTCGGCGACCAAGGACGGTTGACTCGCCCGACTGAAACGGGCGGAGTGGCAACTCATGACTCATCGACTCTTACGTGAATTGAGGGACACAATTTAGTGCCCCGTGTGCCGGATTTCCTTAGTTTCAGTCACAGTGTGAGGCGAACTGAGACTTGTGAAGCGTCTCCCCAAGTGGACCGTCTCGTTGGCACCCGCCCTCCCGACCTTGCCGCCTTGCCCCTCCCCGTGTGGGGTATCACGATCGCCGACAGCCGACACGCACGACTTTCCCGGGTCAGTGACCGGATCACGACCGAGACATGCGCCGTCACGGGTCGTGTGCCACATTTTCTGTTCTTGTGACGTCGTCCTTACGGCATCCACCCGCCTTGGCGGTCTCCTTACATATCTCATGAAACCAGCGCCACCACACTAAACGTTCACGCCTAGCAATGACAAGTGTTCTCTTCATTGTCAGACAGGAACGTTTTCAGAGTTCTGACAGCTTTGTTCCTGAAGTGAGATTTGTTCCTGAAGTGGACGCTTGCTTCCTACTTAAGCGCCCCACTTGGCACGGGGTCGGCTTAGGTCAGGTTTTGTTGGTGGTCGGCCACCCATGGTGGTATAGCTGTGCTGAGTTCTGCTTACTCACATCCTCATGGCAACCGTACAAATACGGTGGTGGCGTGTTCCTGTGTGTCGCTTGGATGAAGTTGGACACAAACCTGTTACGAATGCGGCATCTCGACGTGTCTGAAGTTACCGATTACGTTGTGAACGATAAGCAAGGTCCAAGTAGAACGAAAGGATAGGACAGCTGCTGAGGTGCAAGATTGAAATAATAGTGAATGAACGCCTCGTTTACTGTGCTAGTCTCTGACACCGACTGGACTCCATCACCCCTTTTCGGCCCGACTCGATATCCGGAGCGCGTGCGCTCGTCTGTGCGTGCGTGCTGGTGTATTTCCGCCCCATTGCGGTGTGCCGGAGATGAGTCGTGCGGCGGGCCGCTCATCAGGGCACCGTTGACACAGCTGCTACCGACTGAGGTGGCTAACACCTGTCGACCGTCGACTCGGCACCCCGTGCACCGGGTTCGCTGTGCAATGTGATGTCTGTGCACTGTGCGGGCTGTGGAAACAGCTGTGGCTGCCGGCAGATCCGGCATCGCCCAGCGAGGAGTGACATTCTCAAAGTCCTTCATTTGAACTTGTCTAGCTACTTGGACTCATTAGGTACCTTCTTTTGACATTTTTCTTTTATTCGCTGCTCGTGTCGATCACTATACTTATTTTTCAAGACTGGTCTCCGGGCTTTTGCGACGCGCCTTCTTTTGTTGGCTTCGTATCACCTACGACCTCTGGTAATGCAAGATCAGCAGAGGTTTCCTCCGATCCCAAGTCAATTAAGCTCTTTTCTGGTTCCCGTGTTAGAAGAGGTAAAGTGTTGAAGTGTTGTCACTTGTCACTTGTCAGGTCAGTTCGGTTTTCGTTTAATCTCTAGTTCGTTTAATCAAGTCCACCTCTGATCGCTTGTCCCTTAGCCGACATCTATGGCTTTATGCTAACCTAAAACTTCTGCTTTCTCGGTCAATTGAAGACTGAAGTCATCGCTGGCCCCATCCCATCATAGTCACTTCATCGTCCCCTACGACTCGTCGCATTCCTAGGCTGGTTGTCCGTCCTTAGGTGGCATCTCATGACCCAAGCGCTGTTCAGTCTCGCTCAGCCCGACCAGGCATTGGCGGCGACCGGTGGCAGTGTTTGTATGTGTACAGAGGACAGAGGGGTCGGTCAGATGACGTCTCACCCGGCCCTGGGACAGCAGACAGCTGACGGAGGACCACCGACGACGAACAGAGCAAAATGGGATGGATATTGGGAGGTGCTGGACATTACGGCATTGAAGGAAATGCTGAGGCCTAGTAACTGTCTAGGATGGGTTGTGGCTAATTGATCTTGGGTGGATATTACAGAGCGGAGTGTTAATAGAATCTGCCAGTTGACATTAAACGAATAAGATGCAGTGGGTGTATCTTGGTGAGAACACGAAGAAACAGGATGGATGCAAGCTCAGTTGAATAGAACAGAGGAATGTAATGGGCTCGCTTACATGTGACCCATGAACTTGTTTTGACTAAACTTCGCCTGACTCTAATGGGACCTCCACTAGGACAAGAGGAAGAATGGAGGTTGTGTCTTACTGATGAAAGTGATGAAGAATGGGTGCCGTGTTCTCACCAGGCGGATGTTCTCGATAAACATCCGTCTGGAGATGTCGTTCCAATTGCTGAGGTGGATAGTGTTTGGAGGGCAGCTGATGCGTGAGTTGACCTCGAAGGGTACCTACCTGCTGACTGTGAGGGACTTCAGGGAGCGATCGTCGATTGAGGGAGAAGCTTGCACTCATCTTGCAAGGGATTCCCTGAGAGCGGAGCTCGGATAGTTATTTCTTGGTACTTATAAAAAGTCCTTTGAGCCGCTGACAGCACGACAAAACCGCGATGCTCGTCACGTGTTCATTCCAGTCCAACGATTCATAAACAATGACGTAAGATCACACTACTATCGTCAGCGTCTGGTATCACCAATAAACAGACGGCGATTCTCCTAGTAATTGCGCGGACGACCCTCGGCATTCGCTCCGGCGCAGTAACTCTACATTGCGGGTCAATTGCCAGTTATTGCCACTGCAGTGGCCTTGGTGTGAGAGTGACGAGGCCGGACGGATCAGACAGTGGTTAGAGGAGCGGGATGTCGGTCCGCGTCTGTTCCCGACAGTCGGTCTGTCAGTGGCAGAACGGGGCCAATCTGACGGCGGCCCTGGTGTCTGTGCGGTAGAGGTCCACACGGCTGAGGGACGCGAGATGAAGGATGTGGGATGCGGAAAGAGGAACGTAGTTACATGTGGCGAGACGGACGAGGACGTGAGACGAAGGGTGTGAGGTGTGCCGAGATGGACAGGGACGCTAGACGAACGCTATGGGATGCGGCGAAACGAACTTAGTTAGATGTGGCTAGACGGACGGGGACGTGAGCCGAACGGTGTGGCAGGTGCTGATACGAACCCAGTGAGACGGAAAGAACGGAACAGGACGGACGGCTGTAGTGAGATGGACGGAGTGAGAGACGGAACTTTGGACGCACTGGACTAACGGGATATTACGGAATGATCGATAGAAGACATTTCGACTTGAGATGGCTGCCGATATGGTTATGAATCCCAAAAATTGCCTGATATGGCATGACTGCTGGCCTTCCGAATGACTTAGTACTTCCAATTGTGAACGATGTCCTAAATAAAGGCTTTGAATAGCAATGCATTATAACTATGCGGACATCTATTTGATGTGATTTGGGTTATTACACTCTTTGATCGTGCTTCGGCTGCAGCCCACCATTCTGTCTCATTGGCCTGGTCGATGCCATAGACTCAGTCTGTTCACGGCCGCCTGTCATTGCCTGCCTGTCTGTCTGTCCGTCTGTCTGTGCCGGCTTGTGGTTAAATCGGAGCAGCACCTCAGGTTTGTGGCTCACTGGATCAGATGAATCACCAACAATGCACCGCCGCTGCTTGGTTAGATGAGTCCGACACTATACTTAGGTGGCTAAGTCAGACGAATCTTCGACACATTACCTATACTGCAAGGTTAGATGAATCCAACTATGTAGGTCACCGGGGCACGAAGGTCATTGCAGTGGTGATGGCTGCGGGTTAACCCAACAGGCCTGCTGTTTTTCGGTCAAACTGAAGATAATAGCCGTGTCTGGTGATCCCGATTTACTGGCTACTTTGAATGCATAAATGTCAGCCCAATTCAATCAGTTG